CCCTAAAATACCTCCCTGCTTAAGCAGTGCCTAATTTCTCTACTCACAGACCAGAGCTGTTTTCAAACTGCTTAGGTGGACAGTGAGCTGGGCTGAAGGTTGGGTGCTCACCCCGTCCCGGGTTTCGAACTGCCAACCTTTAGATTATGATCTATTGCTGCTGCTGATTAACCAGCTGTACTAAAGCCCGGTCCCATTGACATTGAAGCCACTAGCTCCCAATGCTGTCACGCACTGGGAAGGGGATATACCAGGCACGGGCAATCTTTGGCCCTCTAGGTGATTTGGACTTTAACTACCGGTTGTTAGGAATTTTGGGAGATGAAATCGAAAACACCTGGAGGACCAAAGTTTGCCCAGGCCTGCCTTAGAGAATGTTGGGCCCCTTTGGGTCAAAAAGGCTGGTAAGTCTCACCTCCTCCCTTACCACGCTGACCTGTATGGCTTTCTGGTCATTGCAGGTGTATGCTTTGCAGTTTCTTCAGACAACTCCACTCCTTTTACTCAAATATCAGCATTCAATATCTTATTGGTGCCTACTACAGGGAAAACCAGCTGATTACTGCCTACTACAGGGAAAACCAGCTGATCCCTAATCCATCTAAAATACAGACATGCGCCTTTCACCTTAAGAACAGACAAGCATCCCGAGCTCTGAGGATTATTACCTGGGAAGGAATCCCACTGGAGCATTGCAGCACACCCAAATACCTGGGAGTCACTCTGGACCGTGCTCTGACCTACAAGAAGCACTGCCTGAACATCAAGCAAAAAGTGGGTGCCAGAAACAATATCATACGAAAGCTGACTGGCACAACCTGGGGATCACAACCAGATACAGTGAAGACATCTGCCCTTGCGCTATGCTACTCTGCTGCTGAGTATGCATGCCCAGTGTGGAACACATCTCACCACACTAAAACAGTTGATGTGGCTCTTAATGAGACATGCCGCATTATCACGGGGTGTCTGCGCCCTACACCACTGGAGAAATTACACTGCTTAGCCGGTATTGCACCACCTGACATCCGCTGAGAAGTAGCAGCCAATAGTGAAAGGACCAAGGCAGAGACATCTCCAGCTCATCCCTGTTTGGGTATCAGCCAGCACGTCAACAACTTAAATCTAGAAATAGTTTTCTAAGATCTACAGAGACACTCGCTGGAACACCTCAGCAAGCGAGAGTCCAAAAGTGGCAGGCTCAAACCCAGAACCTCAACCATGGCTGATACCCAATGAGAGACTCCCCCCTGGGCACACAGAAGACTGGGCGACTTGGAAGGCACTGAACAGACTGCGCTCTGGCACCACGAGATGCAGAGCCAACCTTCAGAAATGGGGCTACAAAGTGGAATCCACGACATGCGAGTGTGGAGAAGAGCAAACCACTGACCACCTGCTGCAATGCAACCTGAGCCCTGCCACATGCACAATGGAGGACCTTCTTGCAGCAACACCGGAAGCACTCCAAGTGGCCAGATACTGGTCAAAGGACATTTAACCAACTACCAAACTCACAAGTTTTGTATTTTTCTGTTTGTTTGCTTTGTTCTGTTAGAAATGTAATATAATGGACTGGTTGCTCTGACACGACAAATAAAAATCTTATTGGAAACAGAAATGTTAATACTGTACAATTATTAGTATATAATATTATTGTATTATTTACAATGCGGTACAGTGTTCCCTCGCTACTTTGCGGTTCACTTATTGCGGACACGTCGTTTCGCGGTTTTTAAAAAATCTATGGATTTAAGACTCTTGCTGCCGCTTGGGCTCCACGACTGAGGAAACGGCGGAGGCATCAAGGGGCCCAAGTGGCGGCAAGAGGCCCAGGCGGTGACGAGGAGGAGGAAGAGGAAGGTAAAGAGGGTGAGGGGGCGGCTCTTCTTCCCTCCTCGCCCTCTTTACCTTCCTCTTCCTCCTCCTCGTTGCATCCTGGGCTTCTTACCACCACTTGGGCCCCACGAGGGGGAAAGAGGCCATCCCTATTTTGCGGAATTTCAATTATCGCGGGTGGTTCTGGAACGTAACACCCACGATAAGTGAGGGACCACTGAATAGGCTTTCCCATATTTTCAGCATCTTTGGAGACTGTGCTTGGATCTGGCCTGTGCTTGGTGCTGTCGTTTCATCTCCCTGCTGAAGAGATTCCTTGCTGGTTTTTTGTTTTTTGGGTTTTTTTGTTGTGTCAGGAGCGACTTGAGAAACTGCAATTGCTTCTGGTGTGAGAGAATTGGCCGTCTGCAAGGACGTTGCCCAGGGGACGCCCAGATGATTTGATGTTTTTATCATCCTTGTGGGAGGCTTCTCTTATGTCCCCGCATGAGGAGCTGGAGCTGCTAGAGGGAGCTCACCCGCCTCTCCTCGGATTTGAACCTGTGACCTTCAGTCCTGCCAGCACAGGGGTTTAACCCATTGCGCTGGCACAGGGGTTTAACCCACTCCTTGTTGGTAAACTTCCCCCTTTTTCTGATCGAAACGCGGAGCTTAAACACCCTGCTTTAATGCACTTCCTATTTATCTACTCACATTTGCTTTCAAACTGCTAGGTAGGCAGAAGCTGGGCTAAAGGTCAGGAGCTCACCCTGACTCGGACTTTGAACTGTCAGCCTTCCGGTTGGCAAGATGTATTGCAGCTCAGTGATTAACCTGCTGTGCTAAAGTTCCCATTTTCCACTCGTTCCTGCTTCTGGAAAGGTGTGAGCAGCCAGGGAACCCAGCGAGCAGATACCTTATGCATGTGAAGATGGTCTTGGATTATTTTTTCCATGGATCCCACACCCACCTTGACATAATGAATGCCCCTCACAAGGGTCAAAAGTTTACACACACATTACTCAGGCTAAACTAGATAAAATGTCAACTCGTATCTTCCACAAAAACAACAATTTAGCTATATAACAATTTGAGACATTACTATTTTAACTGTTTACACCTTAGAGGCATGGCAATAAATATTGTTCAGTAACTATTATGCACAAACTGGGAAGGAAAACATGTCATATTCTTTCATCCTCAGCATTACTGCAGTAACACTTTCTTTAGTATTTCACCAAAGGTAACCTGTGAATACAGTGTTCCTTCGTTACTTCGTGGTTCACTTACCGCGGACTCGCTATTTTGTGACTATATCAGTGGTTCTCAACCTGGGGTCCCCAGATGTTTTTGGCCTTCAACTCCCAGAAATCCTAACAGCTGATAAACTGGCTGGGATTTCTGGGAGTTGTAGGCCAAAAATATCTGAGGACCCCAGGTTGAGAACCACTGGTCTATATATATATAAGTAACGAGGAAACACTGTAGCAAGGAGGGAAGAAGAGCCACTCCCTTGCCCTCTTTACCTTCTTCTTCCTGGTCCTCATCACCGCCTGGGCCTCTTACTGCCAGCTTAGGCTCCGCGCCGCCTCTGCCACCTCCTCAATTGTGAACCCAAGCAGTGGCAAAAGGCCCAGGCAGCAATGAGGAGGAGGAAGAGGAAGGTAAAGGGAGGGGGCAGCTCTTCTTCCCTCCTCGCCCTCTTTACCTTCCTCTTCCTTGTCGCCACCTGGGCCTCTTGCTGCCAGCTTGGGCCCCACGCCACCTCTGCCGCTTCCTCAATCGTGAGCCCAAGCAGTGGCAAGAGGCCCAGGAGGCAACAAGGGAGGAGGAAGAGGAAGGTAAAGAGAGCAAGGGGGTGGCTCACCCTCTTTACCTTCCTCTTCCTGCTCCTCGTTGCTGCCTGGGCCTTTTAGCAGCAAGAGGTCCAGGCGGCGGCAAGGAAGAGGAAGGTAAAGAGGGCGAGGGGGCAGTCTTCTTCTCGCTTTGCCCTCTTTACCCTCCTCTTCCTGCTCCTCGTTGCCGTTGAGGCCTCTTACCACTGCTTGGGCCCCACGACCCCGACAAGCAGCGGCCAGGCGGCGACAAGGAGCAGGAAGGTAAAGAGGACGAGGGGGCGGCTCCTCTTCCCTCCTTGCTAGTGTTCCCTTGGTGTATGTATGTGTGTGTGTGTGTGTGTGTGTGTGTGTGTATGTATATATATATATATGCGAAATAGTGAGTCCACGGTAAGTGAACTATGAAGTAATGAGCCTCCTCAACTGCAGGAACCAAGCAGCAGCAAAAGGCCCAGGTGGCGACAAGGAGGAGAAAGAGGAAGGTAAAGAGAGCGAGGTAGTGGCTCTTCTTCCCTCCTCACTCTCATTACCTTCCTCTTCCTGCTCCTCGTCACCGCTGGGACCTCTTGCTGCTGCTTGGACCCCGCGACATCAACAAGCGACAGGAAGAGGCCCCAGCAGCGACGAGGAGCAGGAAGAGTAAGGTAAAGAGGGCGAGGAGACGGTTTTCTTCTCTCCTCACCCCCTTTACCTTCCTCTTCCTGCTCCTCGCCGCCGCTGAGGACTCTTGCTGCTGCTTGGGCCCCGCAACACCGACAAGCGGCAACAAGAGGCCCAGGTGGAAACGAGAACCAGGAAGTGGAAGGTAAAGAGGGTAAGGGAACGGCTCCTTTTCCCTCCTTGCTACAGTGTTCCGCGAGGTAACGAGGGGTGGCTCTTCTTCCCTCCTCACCCTCTTTACCTTCCTCTTCCTGCTCCTCGTTGCCACCGGAGCCTCTTGCTGTCGCTTAAGAGCAAGAGGCATGCAACAATGAGGAAGAGGAAGGTAAAGAGAGCGAGGGGGCGTCTCTTTTTTCCTCCTTACTACAGTGTTCCCTCGTTACACACACACACACACATATATGTGTGTGTGTGTGTGTAATGGGGGGCGGCTCTTCTTCCCTTCTCACCCTCTTTACCTTCCTATTCCTGCTCCTCGCTGTCGGAGCCTCTTGCCACTGCTTGGGCCCCGCAACACCTCCACAGCCTCCTCAATTGCAGGACCCAAGTGGCGGCAAGAGGCCCAGGCGGCGATGAGGAGGAGGAAGAGGAAGGTAAAGAGGGTGAGGAGAGAAGGGGAGGGGGCATCCCTACTTCACGGATTTTCACTTATCGTGGGTGGTCCTGGAACGTAATCCCCCAATAACTGAGGGTTTTTTGACTGAGTCTGAAAGGGAACTCATTTTAGTATAGTTCTTCTTCCACTGAGGATTTAAAAGATTGCTCCGCTGCATCAATCACCTGTTCAGAAGTGAGATACATCTGCTGACAGTTCTTGGCATACTCCACTAATTGAAATGTTTTCTTCTTTGCATGAGTTACTTGATGACGAGTGAGGTATCTCTTAAAGCTGAAGCATTTCCCACACTCCAGGCATTTAAACGGCTTCTCTCCCATATGAGTTGCCTGGTGATGAATGTAGTTCTTCTTCCAAGTGAAGTACTTTCCACACTCCAAGCATTCAAACTGTTTCTTCCTCATGTGGATGGCTTGGTGTGTAGTGAGTCGCGTCTTCTGGAAGAAGCTCTTCCCACACTCGAGGCATTTAAAGGATCTCTCCCCTGCGTGTGTCATTTGGTGGTGAGTGAGGCTCTTCTTCCAAATGAAGCTCTTCTCACACTCCAAGCATTTGAAGGGTTTCTCGCCTCGGTGGGTCGCTTCATGATCCGTAAGATGTTGCTTCTGCCAGAATCCTCTCCCGCACTCCGAACATTTGAAGGATTTCTCCCCGACGTGGGTTTTGTTATGACAAGCGAGGTGTATCTTCCGGCTGAAGCACTTTCCACACTCCAGGCATTTGAATGGCTTCTCTCTTGTGTGAATTACCTGATGGCGAGTGAGGTGCGTTTTCCGACTGAAGCTCTTTCCACACTCTGAGCATTTGAACGGTTTCTCTCCCGTGTGAATCGCTTGATGATAAACGAAGTGTGTCTTCCGACAGAAACTCTTCCCACATTCCAAGCATTTAAATGGCTTCTCCCCGGTGTGAGAGGCCAGATGGTAAGTCAGGTTCATCTTCCGGCTGAAGCTCTTTCCACACTCTGAACATTTGTACGATTTCTCTCCTGTGTGAGTTGTCTGATGAGCAGCGAGATAGATTTTCTGACTGAAGCTCTTTCCGCACTCCAAGCACCTAAAGGGTTTCTCTCCTGTGTGAGTCGTTTCATGAAAAGTGAGACTTCCCTTCCAACTAAAGCTCTTTCCACACTCCAAGCATTTAAACGGTTTCTCTTTGGCGTGAGTTCCCAGGTGATATGTCAGATGTATCTTCTGAATGAAGCTCTTTCCACACTCTGAACAGTTGAATGGTTTTTCCCCAGTGTGAGCGGCTTGATGGCAAATGAGGCTTCTCTTCCAAACAAAGCCTTTCCCGCACTCCAAGCATTTAAATGGCTTCTCCCCAGTGTGAGTCCCTTGGTGACGAGTAAGCCGGGTCTTCTGGCTGAAACATTTACCACACTCCAAACACTGGAAGGGTTTCTCCACTATGTGTGTTGCTTGGTGGCGAGTGAGGTGTTCCTTACGAAGGAAGCTCTTTGTACAGTCCGAGCATTGAAATGGCCTCTCGTCTTTGTGAGTTTCTGGACAACGAGGAAAGTGTAACCGTTGGGGGAAAGGAGGGGAGGAAAATGAATAGGTTGTGTCAGTTTAAAGTTCTCATTAAAATATTTAAAAAAACACACAAACATGTATTTTCTGTCAAATCAGGAGCTTCAGGAGGGGTCTCTTTCTACACTATCTATTAATTTTAAAAACCTCTTTTGTCTTAGGTAAAAGATAAAGGTTTTCCCCTGACATGAAGTCCAGTCGTGTCCAACTCTGGGGGTTGGTGCTCATCTCCATTTCTAAGCCAAAGAGCCGGCGTTGTCCGTAGACACCTCCAAGGTCATGTGGCCAGCATGATTGCATGGAGCGCCATTACCTTCTTACCGGAGCGGTACCTATTGATCTACTCATATTTGCATGTTTTTGAACTGCTAGGTTGGCAGAATCTGGGGCTGACAGCGGGAGCTCACACTGCTCCCTGGATCCAAACATGCGATCTTTTGGTCAACAAGTTCAGCAACTCAAGAGCCCTCAGTGGCTCAGTGGGTTAAACCCTTGTGCTGTCAGGACTGACGACTGATAGGTCAGAGGTTCAAATCCAGGGAGAGCGTGGATGAGCTCCCTCTGTCAGCTCCAGCTCCCCATGCGGGGACATGAGAGAAGCCTCCCACTAGGATGGTAACACATCAAAACATCCGGGCGTCCCCTGGATAAAGTCCTTGCAGAAGGCCAATTCTCTCACACCAGAAGCGACTTCCAGTTTCTCAAGTCCCTCCTGACACAAACACACAAAATCTCAGTGTTTTAACCCACTGCGCCACCGGGGGCTCCAGTGTAGATCTACACTGCCCTATATCCCAGGATCTGATCCTGGATTATCTGATTATCCCAGATTATCTGGCAGAGTAGACTCATATAATCCAGTTAAAAGCAGATAAACTGGGATTAAATCCTGGGATATAGGGCAGTACAGATCCAGCCTGGGAAAAGTATTCATTTAATGTGTTGTCGAAAGATTTTATGGCCGAAATCACTGCTGTGTGTTTTCCGGGCTGTCTGGCCATGTTCCAGAAGCATTCTCTCCTGATGTTTCACCCACATCACCCACATCCTCAGAGGTTTTGAGGTCTGTTGGAAACTAATAATAATAATAATAATAATAATAATAATAATAATAATCTTTATTTATACCCATCTCCCCAAAGGGGACTCGGGGTGGCTAACATGAGGCCAAGCCCAAAATTACAATACAGCAAAGTATAATACAAACAAGCCAATAATAACTAGGCATATGGGGTTTATATATCTGTGGAATAATGTCTAGGGTGGGAGAAAGAACTCTTGTCTACCTGAGGTAAATGTGAATATTGCAACTGGCTAGCTTGATTAGCATTGAATAGCCTTGCAGTTTCAAAGCCTGGCTGCTTCCTTTGTTTTCTTTGTTCTACCCATTTACAAAGCATGTTTTGTGCTAGTTGGCATTTTTGGGAAATCACACATTTGTATCAAGAGGCATTGTATCCACAGTGGTTGAGGTTCAGCTTTTAACCTCTGGAATCCATTGCCAAAAGCGAAGATATGCAGTCAATCACCCATGTTTGCTGGGGTTAGTGGCATGAGGTCCCTGTGAACATGAAAAACCATAAATACGAAAATTGCTATATTTTTTTATCTGAGTGAATACCTATTTAAGAATCTGTAGACTCTCCTTACAACTATATGGCATAGAATACCTCAGCTGGCAGAAGTATAGTTAGGTCACAGTGATTTGAGCACATGTAAAGGGATTTGATGAATGGCAAGAAAGAGGGAGCCTTACCAAGAAAGGACAGAACCTCCACACTCTCCTCCATCACTTCCCTGTGAAGGTCTCTCTGCCCCGCATCCAGGAGGTCCCACTCCTCCTCTGTGAAATACACCGCCACCTCTTCCAAGGTCACCTGATGAAATGATTTTACTCTCATTATTATTCGTTTATTTATATAGTACCATCAGTGTACTGGCGCTTTATTTATTATTTATTTATTGCATTTATATACTGCTTTTCTCACCCCTGGGAGGACTCAAAGCGGCGTACATCAAGTAATGGCAAGATTTAGTGCCAACATACATGCAAAACAAAGCACAGTAACTAAATCCATAACATACGACTGTGAAATATTGACATAATAAATAAATAGATAAATAAATAAACAAACAAAAAAACTAACTAACTTTATTTATACCCAGCCACCATCTCCTCCAAAGGGGACTCGGGGCAGCTTACATGAGGTTAAGCCCGACAATACATTACAGCAAAATAAAATACAGATCAACAAAAAATAACACCACAATGGAATACAAAACATTCAAGTAAATAAGCAGTGCAATACAACATAACAAAAAGTCAAACACAGTGGGCGGGCCAAGTGCATGACATAAAATGATAAAACTCTGGATGAGATAGCAGTGAAACATAAGCAGACATTTAGACAATTAATACATAGAATTAAAAACATCTTAATATTTCATTTCAAGCGTCTATTGCACTTTTTTCCTTGTGCTACGTTACTTACTGCCCAAAGGCTTGGTTCCATAGCCTTTGGAACCAAGCCTTTACGTTCTTTCTGAAGGCCAGGAGGGAGGGCACTGATCTAATTTCACTGCGGAGGGCATTCTATAGCCAAGGGGCCAACACCTAGAAGGCCCTATCTCTTGTCCCCACCAGTCACGCTTGCGAAAGAGGTGGGATTGAGAGCAGGGCCTCCCCAACAATCTTAGTCTCTGAGCTTGTTCATAGAGGGAGATGCATTCAGACAGATAAGCTGGGCCGGAACCATTTAGGGTTTTGTAGGCCAAGGCCAGCACTTTACAAGTAAAAGGCTAACTAAAGAAGTTCCCTAGTTCCCTGCCCTCAGCCTGATAATCTAATTAAGGTTTTTGTAGGTTTTTCGGACTGTATGGCCATGTTCTAGAGCATTCTCTCCTGACGAAATAAAGAACAAAACTCAAACAGAGGGGAACTCCAGACAAGAACCAATCAGGAACACCTAATCACCTCTCAACAAAGGATTATCCCAGGCAGTAACAAGCCACAGCTAAAAACTGTCAGGTCGTCTTCCTTTTTCCTTCCATTTTCCCTAGCATCATTATATTCTCCAAGCTTTCCTGTCTAGTATACTGGTATAGTACAATATGGCAATATATAATACTAATATTGTGCTATGCTAATAATATAATATATTGTACTAGCAGTCCCCTGCCACGCGTTGGTGTGGCCCAGTCTGTGTATATGTGTTTGTGTGTATATATATGCATATATGTATGTATATATATTTGTGTATATGTGCATATATGTGTGTTTGTGTATATATGTGTTTTGTGCATGCGTTGTAATGATTTTTTTTGTTTTTATTTGCTTTTAAAGTCTCTTCTGCTATGTTTTTCAGTGTTTTCATGAGTGATGGTCACTCGTTGGCCTGATAGGGGTCTTGTGTCCAAATTTGGTGTCAATTCATCCAGTGGTTTTTGAGTTCTGTTAATCCCACAAACAAACATCACATTTTTATTTATATAGATGTACATATAACTTGTAAGCATTCTGAGTCCCCTTCGGGGTGAGAAGGGCGGGATATAAATGTCATAAATAAATAAATAAATGTTTGTTTTCCTGTCTGTGTCCCTGTTCAGATGTCTTGTTGTGGAAAGGACTGGTGATAAAGCTTCAGTTGAGACCCTTTCCCCCATGATAATAACTCTTCCAAGAGTAGATTTCCCTTCTTGGGGGTAGATTTCTCTCACTTCCTTTTGTTTCATCCCCAGATAAGGCTGTGGCAGTTGGGATGGAGGCAGGGGCTTTTATCTGCTTCTGGTGCTGTTACTGTCTCTTTTTCTCTCCCTCTGAAGCAGTTGGGATGCATGAAGTGCCAAGCCCTCTCTGAAAGGAATCTAAACTTGTGGAGGCCCCTGTTCTTGACCTCTATCACCTACCAGTCTTGCAGAAGCTCTTCTGGGCACATCCGAATGAAGAGATGGACTAGCATGCGTCGGCCACGTGTCATCTCCTGTGAGGAATGGAAAAGGCAACAAGCAGGGTTATTACCCACTTTCCCTATTTTCTATTCAGAACTGTCCAAATATAGCTCAAACAATATAATATACACCATCTACTGCAATGTTTCTCAACCTTCCCAATGCTGCGCCCCCTTAATACAGTTCCTCATGTTGTGGTGACCCCCAACCATAACATTACTTTCGTTGCTACCTCATAACTGCAATTTTGCTACTGTTATGAATCATAATGTAAATATCTGATGTGCAGGATGTATTTTCATTCACTGGACCAAATTTGGCACAAATACCTGATACACCCCAATTTGAATACTGGTGGGGCTGGGGGGACTGATTTTGTAGTTCAGGAGTTGTAGTTGCTGGGATTTGTAGTTCATCTACAATCAAAGGGAATTCTGAACTCCACCAACGATGGAATAGAACCAAACTTGGCACACAGACTTCCCATGACCAACAGAAAGCACTGGAAGGGTTTGGTGTGCATTGACCTTGAGTTTTGAAGTTGTAGTTCACCTACATCCAGAGAGCACTGTGGACTCAAACAATGATGGATCTGTACCAAACTTGGCATGAACACTCAATATGCCCAAATGTGAACACTGATGGGGTTTGGGCAAAATAGACCTTGATATTTAGTAGTTGCAGTTGCTGGGATTTATAGTTCACCTACAATCAAAGAACATTCTGAACCCCACCAACAATAGAGTTTAGCCAAGCTTCCCACACAGAACCCACATGCCTTGAAGGGACTCGCTGGCGTGAGCTTCCCTCCAGCCTCACTCGCTCTCCCTCATCTGCACATGCGCACCATGCACCTATTCTTCTCTCCCCGCTTGGAGTCTCAGAAACAGCCCTCTCGTTGGCTGAGAGACCAGCTGAGAGGGCGGCTAATCACAGCGGAGGAGGGCTTTTGGTGAGAGGATTCTCCTTCTTTTTCCAGGCGGAGAGATCTTCAGCCTTCTCTGCCAAAGGGGTTCCTAAGACCATCAGAAATATATGTTTTCTGATGGTCTTTGACAACCCCTCTGAAACCCCTTTGCAACCCCCCATTGGTCCCGACCCCCAGATTGAGAATGTGGATTTACTGGAAGGTAGTAGCAACAGAAAGGAAGTAACCTTGAAGTTAGACAATTTAGAAAATCCTTCCACTTTTTTTTCCCTTACACACATCAGGGTTGAAAGTGTTGACTAGGACATAGAAAACCTTTAATTGTGCTGCAGTCCACAGAGCCCAAAGGTTATAGGTGTACAGTAAGACCCCCATAGCCAGTTGAACCTATATCTGTGATTTACCTAATCATGCTAGGGAAGGAGCTCTCCAAGATTTTTGTGTGATTCTATGACATACATCCCCCAGAGGTTGCACTGGAATTTGTAGCTGCTGGGATTTATAGTTTACATACAATCAAAGGGCATTCTGAACTCTACCAATGATAGAATTGAACCAAATGTGGCACACAGGACTCCCATGACCAACAGAAAACACTAGAAGGGTTTGGTGGACATTAACCTTGAGTTTTGGAGTTGTAGTTCACCTACATCCAGAGAGCACTGTGGATTCAAACAATGATGGATCAGGACCATACTTGGGTTCATGTGCCCAAATATGAACACAGATGGAATTTGAGGAAAATAGACCTTGAAATTTGGGAGTTGTAGTTACTGGGATTTATTTATTTAATTATTTATTATTTACAGTATTTCTATTCCGCCCTTCTCACCCCGCAGGGGACTCAGGGCGGATTACAGTGTACACATATATGGCAAACATTCAATGCCGATTTGACATACAACGTATACAGACATACACAGAGGCTATTTAACATTTTCTGGCCGCCAGGGGAGCTGTCGCTTTCATCGTCCATCTCCGACACTGATGAAGTACTTCCGCATTCCCCGCATGCTTTTATGCTGGAGTGCTTTGCTGGAGTCTTTTTTTATGGCCTCATAAATTAGTTAATTTAGCCTCCCCACACAAGGTGGTACCTAATTTTCCTACTTGACAGATGCAACTGTCTTTCGGGTTGCAAAGTTGACAACAGGCCACACAATTGGTTGGAAACCCACCCCAACCCGGGCTGGCTTCAAACTCATGACCTTTTGGTCAGAGTGATCTTAATGCAGCTGACACTCAGCCAGCTGCGCCACAATCCCAAATTGTAGTCACAAATTGTAGCTGACCTACAATCAAAGAGCATGCTGAACCCACCAATGACACAATTGGGGCAAACTTCCTACACAGAACCCCCATCCCGTCCACCTTCCTTCACCAGGGCAAGAAAACGTAATCAAAGCCCTCCTGACAAAGAGCCATCATATAGATAGATAGTATTATAGATTTGAAAGAAACCCCTAAAGAAGGACAATTATATGTTGCCTGTTCCAGAGTAGGCAAACCAGACAATCTCCACATCGACACTGACAAAGAAACAATAAGAAATACTGTTTACCCACAAGCATAAAGAAATTACATATATTAGAAACCAATACTTTCTAATTACTTTATTTTCCAGATCATCAGACTGGGCCACGGCAACACATGGCAGGGGATGGCTAGTGTTCAATAATACCATTTTTATGTAGTTGCAGTGTGATTGGGAACGTATCTCCCACAGATCCATGGTCTTAAATTCATGGAGAGAAGGAGAAAAGCAAAAAAGGTTTCCAGCTAGCCCTTACCCGTTGTGATGCATATTCTGTTCCCATCCTGGACAAGCCATTTCATCAGGGAAGAAGACTTTTCCACCTCTCTGGTCTCAAGTACGAAGGAATTCTGCTCCTGAAGATGTAACAAGGATCACAAAGAAAAAAGATCAGTATAAACAGAGCTCTGCTGGAGTGACTTTCAGCATGAGCTGCTCCTCAGTCCTTTGTTGGGGGGCAAAATCTGCCTTTGTTCATGTTTATTTGAGAGTCACTGACAAGATGTCCCTGTTTACACTATAAGACAGACCTCTGCCTCCACTTTAACTGCCATGGTAACATCTTATAAAATCCTGGAATTTGTAATTTGGAGATTCTCCCTAAACTGCAAGTCGCAGTGTCCCATCATGGTAGTTGTGTGCCTTTAGATCATTTACAACAGTGTTTTGCGACCTGGGGGTCAGGATGCCTGAAGGAATCACAAGGGGGTGTCAGAGGGGTCACCAACGACCATCAGAAAACAGTATTTTCTGTTTGTCATGGGGGTTCTTTGTGGGAAGTTTAGTTCAATTCCATCGTTGGTGGACAGAGTTTGAAGTGTGCTCTTGCTTCATGAGCTGCTGAAGGAGTTTATCCACATGGACATAGAAAGACCATTTTAAGATCCAACCAGTCCATACTTCAGGAAATAAAGCCCGATTATTATTATTATTATTATTATTATTATTATTATTATTATTATTATTTGAAACACAACAAGATGAGTCCACAGCAGACACTCTGCTGGCTGTTGAATTGGATTGCACGTTGGACGCTTCCCAAGTGTCTAAGACTGTGTGATGTATCGGCGAATAATGCATGCAGATTCCAGTAAGGTGGCCTTCTGCAACTGGCAGATGGTTGTTATTATTATTATTATTATTATTATTATTTGCCTCAACTTGGAAAGTATGCTGCTATGGATAGTCTTCCTGACAAGAAAAGGCAAATAGGATTTACCTTTTTTGCTACATGGACTATCCATATTCGAACAATGAATATAAAATCATTATGGGCCCCTTGAAACTACCAAGATGAATATCGCTCTCACCTGGGGCTTCTCCCACTTCCTCTCCTCTTGGGCCCGACTCAGGAGGAAGCCTTCAGCCAAGGCCACGGCCTGGGAACTGGTCTCTGCCCCACATTCCCTCACCCAGCGCTCCATCTCGGCAGGAAGGACGGCCAGGAACTGTTCCAGGATTACTAAATCCAGCATCTGGGCTTTTGTGTGCTTCTCTGGCTTCAGCCACAGGCGGCAGATAGAGTGGAGGCGGCTGCAAATCTCTCGGGGTCCCTGGTCCGCCTCGTAGCAGAATTGTCTAAAATACTGTCTCTGAATATCTGAATGGAGCAAATTGCTTTCCATGCTCGTCTCCCTAGGCTTCTTCCAGAAGGTTTCACTGTTCTCTGCCTGGAAGGTGCAAGAAGATTTTCCTAACCAGGAAACTGCCGACTCCTGCCTTTCCATCTTTGTTCTGTTGTTCTTAGGGTGCTTCCAGAGTGGTTGAAGAAATTTCTCCTTCTTCTGCCAGTTTTTATCATGAGATTAGGAGTGGCAATATTAATAGGGCCTAGAAAGAAAATAATATGAATGAATCAAGTTAATACTTTTGGGGAGAGATCAGAAACTAAGATCAGAAATTAGATTGTTGTTGTTCATTCGTTTAGTCGTCTCCGACTCTTCGTGACCTCATGGACCAGCCCACGCCAGAGCTCCCTGTCGGCTGTCACCACCCCCAGCTCCTTCAAGGTCAGTCCAGTCACTTCAAGGATGCCATCCATCCATCTTGACTTTTAAAAACCGCAAATACCAAGACTCAGGGAAAATAACAACAACAACAGAAGTTTGCCCATGCCTGGCCTAACTAATGCTAAACCCATATCATACGCTGTGTAGACTTGATATGAATCATAGAATCAAAGAGTTGGAAGAGACCTCCTGGGCCATCCAGTCCAACCCCATTCTGCCAAGAAGCAGGAATATTGCATTCAAATCTCCCCTGACAGATGGCCATCCAGCCTCTGTTTAAAAGCTTCCAAAGAAGGAGCCTCCACCACACTCCGGGGCAGAGAGTTCCACTGCTGAATGGCTCTCCCAGTCAGGAAGTTCTTCCTCATGTTCAGATGGGATCTCCTCTCTTGTAGTTTGAAGCCATTGCCCCTTTGCGTCCTATTCTCCAAGGAAGCAGAAAACAAGCTTGCTCCCTCCTCCTTGTGGTTTCCTCTCACATATTTATACATGGCTATCATGTCTCAAATAGTAAAGTGCTGGCGTTGGCCTATAAAGCCCTAAACGGTTCTGGCCCAAGCTACCTATCCGAACGTATCTCTGCCTATCAGCCCGCCAGGACCCTAAGATCTTCTGGGGAGGCCCTGCTCTCTATCCCGCCTGCTTCACAGGTGCGGCTGGCGGGGACGAGAGACAGGGCCTTTTCTGTGGTGGCCCCTCGGCTGTGGAACGCCCTTCCCATGGAGGTGAGATCAGCCCCCTCGCTAATGGTGTTTCGAAGAAGATTAAAAATTTGGATGTTTGAACGGGCATTCGGATAAACTGCGCAATGAATGTGATGATTACAGGAATGGAAATATGGACGACGAATTGGATCACAACTCTAGTGATGAGATGTATTGTGTTTTTACTGTTGTGTTAATATTTGTATACTATGTCCTTGTGGTTTTAAATTGTATATCGTTGATTGACTTTTTTGTAAACCACGTTGAGTCGCCTGTTGGGCTGAGAAACTGCGGTATACAAGTAAAGTAAATAAATAAATAAAGAGTAGAGACATCACACTGGCAACAAAGATCCATTGCCTAGTCAAAGCCATGGTATTCCCTGTAGTGACCTACGGATGTGAGAGCTGGACCTTAGGGAAGGCTGAGCGAAGGAAGATAGATGCTTTTCAGCTGTGGTGCTGGAGGAAAGTTCTCAGAGTGCCTTGGACTGCGAGAAGATCCAACCAGTCCATCCTCCAGGAAATAAAGCCCGACTGCTCTTTGGAGGGAAGGATACTAGAGACAAAGTTGAAGTACTTTGGCCACATCATGAGGAGACAGCAAAGCCTAGAGAAGAGAATTATGCTGGGGAAAGTGGAAGGCAAAAGGAAGAGGGGCCGACCAAGGACAAAGCCCTGAACGGACCTACAAAGCCCTGAACGGTTTGGGACCACCCTACCTGCGGGACCGCATCTCCATTTACGAACCCACACGC